TTATCCACCCGCTAGATAAGGCTGAGGATGATAAAAATGATTGCACAAAGTTGGTCTTTATACAGTATCTTCAAAAGAGTGCAACCTGCATAGGGCATCACAGAGGTAGAAGTAACGCTCCACTTGACCAGAAGCAGATTGGGGGCTGGCACTGAGCGGGAGGTGGGGTCAGCTAGCTAGTCCCTGGGGAAAATATAGGTGGACCGCCCCCCCAAGTGCTTCTTGGCATGGGAGTGCTTGATCTTGGACTGGGCCTGGGGGGCTTTCGTACACAGGTGCTGGTCCCAATGGTGGCAGCCATCAAGTTGGACTCCCCCACTTGTGGTGACCACAGACCCAATGCAATGAAATGCTGTCCAACCCTACACCTCGCCCCAACACTATGAAGATGGCACTTGGCAGTAATCCAGTAGAAAGACAGACACCTTTATTCAGTATGAGAAAACCTTGAAGAAAGGACTCTAGTATTTCAAATACTGCCGTACTATAACACTGAGGGAGCTTGGTGGCCCAGCACAAGGTGTTGCGCTGCCAACCCAAAGACATGCAGTTCGAATCCACCAGCTGCTCTGAGGGAGAAAGACAGTCTTCTCCTGCGTGATGTCAACCTCTGAAAACCCACCGCAGCATCAGCTCTGCGCCAGCTCCAAATAGACACCGCACAGCAAGAAGAAACAATGTGGATTCTAGTTCTTTCTATAATGTTGTTAGGTTCTGTGACGTCAGCTTTGACCCACAGGGACATTGTGAACAAAATGGAATGAAGCCCGGCGCGGTCGTGTGTCATCCTCACAAGCATTGCCGCGTCTGCAATCCCTGTGCCACATCCAAATCTGACTGTGCTTGTCGTGGGCCGTTGAGTCAGAACCGACTCATAGCTGACCTGCCAGCAGTTTCTCAGAAGCTGTAAGTCACACAGGAGATTGCCTGTCTTTCTCCCAAGGAGCAGCTGGAAGATTCAAACCACCCACCTTTGGGTTGGATGCACAACTCCTTACCCACTGGGCCACCAGAACAAAATGATACTGTAAAGGACAACATTCAGATCGTCCCAAGATCCTGTTGCTTTTCGCTTTTCATTAACTTCCCTGAAAGTCTAAAGCTAATACAGCCCGTTCTTAGAGAAAATGCCAACCATTTGGCTTATAAAGTGAACGTCTGCTCCTTGGTGGAATATAATTAATTGTAGCTAACATATATTATCTAGTAAAAATCAGTTAAATCCCAATCTGTGTGTCTCCCTTAAAAGTACGCATATAACATGAAACTGTTATGGGCCCTTGAGTCAGAACTGACCCATCGGTGACTGTCCAGCATGTTTTCAGAGGCTGTAAGTCCCACCATAGGCGACTGCCCGTCTTTGTCCCCCAGAGCAGCTGGTGGATTCAGACTGCTCACCTTTGGGTGAACAGCGCAGCTCCTTTCCACTAGGCCGTGCGAGCTCCCTGTGGACACTGTAAAAAAGGACAGACATAAAACTGCATTTTGTTTTGACAGTTGTGCAAGTTAGTGAAATTCCTGGATGATGTAAGCAGTTAATGTGCTCACTGCTAACCAAAAGGCTGGTGGTTCAAGTTCACCCAGAGGGGAACTTTCTTGGAAGGAAGGGCTGGAGATCTGCCAAAAAAGCATCTATTGAAAGTGGTTCTGCTCTGACACACGCTGGGTCGCCACGAGTACTCAAGGCCAAGTAGTGGCTGGTTAATTAGTTAGTTATGTACTTATTTATTTTTTAAAATTTTTCCCTATTACTTTTCCTACTAGTTTATTTACAAAATTCAAGTACAAATTTGAACAAATTCTTTCCATTTCCCTCACCACTCCCCACCCATCAAATTGTACAACCCAAAGCAGTCCTCAACTTAGGAATGTCCAAGAAATGTCATTGAGTCCCCTGTGACTCATAGAAACCCTATGTACAAAAGCTCTGCCTCCTGCCCTGTCCTGAGCCAGTCTCACTGACATACCTACCCCCATTGCCTCAGTTACTGTATCAATCCATTTCATCGGGGTCTTCCTGTCCTGCGCTGTCCCTCCACCCTTCCAAGCATGATGTCTTTCTCCAAGGACCAGTCCCTCTTGGCCACGTGCCCAAAGTATGTGAGATGGAGCTTCAAAATCCTAACCTCCAAGGAGAAACCTGGTTTCACCCTCTCCAAGACAGACGTACCTGTTTTCTTGGCGGTGGTGTGTAAATTTGCCCTCACTTTGAAACGCCAAGTGGCAATAAATTCTTTCTCACAATCACCTTTACTTGCTCCACATACAGCTTTTAAATCACTGAAAAGGCTTCACGTCTTCCCTTGCCCTAAAGGAAAGCGAAATCAGAACCATATGGACCTGTTTTGACTTACCTAAATTCCACTTGAAGCCTTAAAGACACAGTTAAGGCTGATCTGGTCCGTAACCTGGGCAGTGTCTGTGCCCCACACCTCAGTCTCCCACCCTCCTCTGATGGGCCTGGGAGTGGCTGGGTCCTGGACGCTGTGAGAAGCCGCTGGAAGCGTGCTCTGGGGCCCCTGTTGTACTGGAGTTGCTCGGATGTGTGAGTGGCTGGGGTGGAAGAGTGAGGCTGTAAGATATCAGCTTCCCGAGACGATGCCACACTCTTTGCCATATGGTTACATTCATTCCCTCTCCCAAGGGTAGCGTGTAAGAGGGCCCGTCACCCGTATCCTCTCCAATTGCTTAATTTTTGTGAATCAGACGAGAATGAAACGGCCTTTCCTCGCTGCTTGCCTTCATTTGCACTTCCGGGCCTCTAGTCAGCAATGCACCTCTATCTCAGACACACCTGCCTTTTCCCCAGTGAAAAGCCCCTTCGAGTCCTCTGCCCACTTTTTCTCTGTTGGATGGTATGTGTTTTTTCTTCTTGTTTTCTAGGAATTCTTTATACGCCCTTTCTCTGCCATCTGTAAGGTAAATATTTCAAAGCCCTTTTCATGTCTGACGTGTTTACTCGTTTTCCTTATGGTATCTTTCGATGAACAAAGGGTCTTCATTTTCTAGGCCCTGGTCTCCCCTTTTTTACGGCTTTTTATGTCTTGTTTATGAACTCTTTTCCTGAAGGAATTTAAAAGGGATCTCGGCATCTGGGACAACACATGGAGGGTCGCTGAGTCCCAGAGCCAGTCGGAACCGGCCTCTCCCAAGGCCATGCTGGTCATGGGCAGCCCCGGCTGGCCAGCATGCGGGACAAGCCATCGTGCAGGCAGGTTGCTCTGGCTGCAAAACAGGGTAGCTCATGCTATTAGAGTTGGGTGCTATTAACAATTCTAATCAGAGACTGTAATTAACTTTCCTTGCTCTGCTAAGCAACCTTCTGATTATAATTTGGCTTCCTATGTATCTTGCCTACAGGGAGAGAATGTACTGTTCAGCCCTTCGTGAGGCTTCAATCCACTAAACAGTTACATGCCACGGTGTAAATTAATAAATTCGTATTCTGATTTTATCATCTGTTCGCCTGAGCTCCGTGGCCGTGACTCAGCATGCCCGAGTCTAATCAACGGGACATTGAGAATATCCAGCTCATGAGCTGAGACACTGAGCTAGACCCGGGCACCAAGCAAAATCACCAGGGTAACGCTGCCCCTGATGCCCCCAGCCCCAAGGAAGAGCCCTCCCTCCCGCCTTACGCTGGGAACATGGATGACATTAGCTACTCCATTACCAAGAGCTGGGATTCAGAAATCTGGCTAATTTCACTTCAGACGAAGGCCAAGAATAAGAGATGACCAGGGAATGTGGGCTAAATTATTATTTATTGGCTTAGAATCACACATACTTCTCAAATCCTAGGCAGACAGATAAGGTCTATAGATAGATAAAACAAACCCCAACAGGCCAGGAAGTGGAACAAGGGGAATCTGCTGGTGGCTAGACAATACCAGAACCCCAGGAGAAGGCAGGCCAGGCAGGGGATGTCCCTGCCAGGGCAGGAATGTGGATTTCCAGACGTGAGCGAGGCTCTGGGTCCGGGGAGTGATTTAGGGTCTGCAGGATGAAGGCAAGTTCTTTGAAGTGAATTCAAAGGTGAGCCCCACAGGGTAATTTAGTGCCCTGCCTCTGAGTCTCCCATTTCTTCTGGGAGTTTTGGGGTGAACCAGAACCCAGAATGATAGGCTCCTTTGGGATCTCAGTGATACTGCACAATGAAGGAAAGGAAGGGAAAAGAAGTAACTACAAGTAGCCCATTGCCCTGAAGTCGGTTACAACTAACAGATACACACACACACACACACACACACACACACACACACACACCCCAGGATAGGGTCAAAGTGCTTCATTGGGTTTCTAAGGCTGTTCTCTTGACAGAAGCAGACTCCCCATTCTTCTCCCATGGAGGGGCTGGTGGGCTTGAACCACCAAGCTTTTGGTTAGTAGCTAAATGTTTAACCATTATGCCACCAGGGCCCCTGACAAGAACTAAACTCTGAGAATTCTTGGCCCAAGTAATGGGAGACCAGGAGTTTGTATCCAGGCCCCTCCTGCAAAGGTCCTACTGAGGACCTTAAAAGATTCATTGCTTAAAGAAAAGTATATTCAAGTAAGATAATCTTTGAGTCTTGATCTAAAAAGTGAGTATCATGTCCCTGGATGACTCCCTGAGCCCCTACCTCAGCCTGGTCACAGGTTTGAATGGGCACAGAGGAGGTTGGAGAACCATCTTACAGGGTCTTAGTTCTTAAAAGAGGTAGAGGTGCCCCACCCAGTTAGGGGTGGGTGTCCAAGGTGGCCCACTCAAACAGCCATGTGGCAGGAGAGACAGACGAAAGGCTTAGGTAGACAGCAGGACTGCAGCACAGCAGGGAAGGAGAGAGCGCCCCTCACAGGTGCACCTGCAGAAAGCACCTGCTCCAGGAAGGGAGATCAGGGCGGCTGCCTTCATCTTTAAAGTCGGAGGTCTCTTAAGTCACATGTAGAGGAGTGAGCCCCTTCGATACAGACTGGGGTGGGGGGTGTGCATCTGCTTGTACAGCTAAATGTAAACGAGTCTAGTAGAGGTGGCCCCGCGTGTGCTCCATGATGGTCTTCAGGCCCAGCCAAGTCTCCTCGGCGGTGGGGATGATCTGGTTGGCCGGCAGCAGGAAGCCATGGTTCCCGGTATCTCTCAACTCAAACGTGAAGGCATACTTGATGCCGTTATCATAAGCCCAGTCTATGCTGCTGCCAGAAGCTGGGTCTGTAAGTCAGAAGAGAAAATACCTTTGAAGCTCAAGTCCCTTTAGGGTGAGGTTTAAAGAGGGATTTACAGCCTCTGAAAGCTCGCTGGAGGGTCAGCTAAATTCAAGCAGGAGGTAAAAGGACCTCGGCTAATTAGCCAAGCTGGTCAAGTCCACTCGCCTAAGGCCCCTGTTCAAAGCCTTCCTGTTCTTTTTGGGACACATTATAACTAGACGTAGTATGAGCATTGTTCTGCATGTTGCAATTTTCCATCCACATGGAAGGTTATTCTCTATTAGGACAGATTGTTGCAAGGATGCCTCAGATCTACTTCTCTCCTCACTGAGGGGCTTCTAGGTGTTCACCGACCCCTTTTTGCATCCTCACAATTTAGTTACCACCCCAGCAGGACCAAAGAACTTGTTCCCAAGCCCTTCATAGATCAGTCAGTGAGGAGGAGAAGGAGGAGAAAAGTTTGCTCAAGGCTGTTGGCCAGAAAGCAGGTAGAACATGACAGGAGGAAGGAGCCACTCTCAGACCAGACATAACAGTAGCAATTCCTTGGGAGTAAGATCTTTCTCCCAAGGAGTCCTGGGGGATTCCAACCACCAGAAAGAAAAGGCTTTGGGGTTAGCAGCGCCAGTGCCCTTCTCTCCCCATCGTCTTCCTCCTTCTTCAACAGATGGTCCCCCTCAGAGACCCTGCAATCTTGCCCGTACTTATTTCCTCTTCAGTTCTGTCTGCTTCCCCTGGCTAGCTCTTCCCTCTGGACTCCATTTCCTCCCTCTGCCCTAGCTTCCGTCTGTGTGTCCTATGCCACCAGGCTGCTTGAAGCCAATAGCCTGATGTTGGTGTTTGTGTTGCTAATTATGGCAACAACCTATTAATTACTCCTGGTTTATTATTATTATTGTTATCGTTGAGTGGAGCACTCCAGAGAACACACCAGAACGTGACTTAGAACTGAATCGGGGACCGAGTGTTAGGTGGAGATTGTCTTCTGGGAAGATCTCTGCGGGTCACCAGGGCCCTGACTTTGGGACCAAATATCAGTTCAAATAATGAATTTTCTTCTAAAAGAAAAGCAAACTGGTGGGGAGGGGGGAGGTAAGGAGGAAAACGTGCAACAATAAATGAATAGAAATCCAAGTTTTCTGTAAACTTTTGTTAAATTCACAATAAAAATTATATATATATATCTAAAACTATATCTATATCATCTCTTTCTCTATATCTCTCTCTCTCTCTCTCTCTATCTATCTATCTATCTATCTATCTATAGATCTATATCATCTATATCTATCTATAATAGTATTGGTCTTATCCTCCTCCACACCACGCAGATCATCCTTCTCCCGGACCTCACAACCGCGTTGCCGTCAGCTTGGGTCCCACTCATAGTGACCTGCGGTGGGTTTCTGAGGCTGTCAATATTCATGAAAGAGGACCCATGAATCAGGGCTCAGAGCTGGGCTTACTATGCTTGTACTTGTGGCTGGAGGGGTGGAGAATGGCTGTGTTTTTCCAAGGGGGACAATGAGCATGATCTCAGCAGGAAGCTTATGAACTGCAGGTGGAGCAGCTCGTGAGAATGCAAAGAAGCAAAGTTGCCTCCTCCCTGGGAGGGTCTGGTGCTGAGCAAGGTGCCACTTCTCTGGGAGGGTCTGGTGCTGAGCGTCAAGTCCAGGTTCAGGTTCGGGCACTCGGTGGATGCGAGGGGATTTCTGTCTCAATGCTAATCAGTGTTGGCAGCCCCCACCCCAGCTCTCTGTGGTCCCACATGGATGAACTTTGGGTAAAAGGGGAGAGCATTTCCCCTCATTCTCCAGCCCCATACCCATGTGTCTACCAATGAAAAGCTGAGTTTCCTTTGAAAATAGAGTGCATAGTCTTGAGGAAGTTAGGCTTAAGCCATGCAAAGACCTTTAATACCAGGTAAAGAACCAGACTCTACTAGGCTCAACGAATAAACTCCTCAGGAGATTCACAGAATAGGAGTAGCACTGACATCCAAGCAGATATATGCACACCCATGTTTATTGCAGCTTTGTTCACAATAGCAAGGAGTTGGAAACAATTTAAGTGCCCATCAACAAATGAATGGATAGAGAAGCTGTGGTATATTCACACAATGGAATACTATGCTGCATTGAAAAACAAGGAACTCATGCAATATTACTCAAAATGGGTGCCCCTGGAGGACATTATGCTGAGTGAAATATCTCGGTCACAAAAGGACAAATACTGCTTGGTGCCACTGTTGTAAAACAGGACTGACCTCAGGGTTGGGGAGAGACGGAGGAAGATGGGTTCAGTAATGTATACTGCATTGAAACAGATGAGGGAGAAGACTATTTAAAAGGGGTATATGATTAGGTATTTTTGTCATGACAGGAGTCTAGAGCAAAGGCTACAAGGTGGAGTGGATCTGGGGGGAGGGTTTGTAAAATAATGAAAGAATTTTTCTTTTACTTTTCCAAGAGGGTAGTGTACTAGGGGAGGGTTGGGAAGGGAGAAAAGTACAACAATGAATGACTAGAAATCCAAAGTCTTTGTAAATTTTTACTGAAATTAATAATAAATTTAAATAAAATTTAAAAAAGAATAGGAGTGGTAGGGAGCGCTGGTGGCCTAGTGGCAAGAAGCTGCACTGCAGTCCCAGAGGCATGTGGTTCGAATCCACCAGATGTTCTGTTGGAGAAGGAGGTACAATCTCCTCCTGGACCATCAGATCCAAGCTTGGGCCCAAGTCCGCCTGTATTACTAACAACACAGCAGACCACAGGCAGCCGCACTCGCTCCCACACCCATGGGAGTTCCCTCTCCAGCATTTTCTAAGTCACTAGCAAGGACAGCAGGTACTTACAGACAGTGGTGCAAGTGGGACCCACTTGGTACTCGGTGCCAGACAGGGAAGCCAGCGCTTTGGCTGCACGCCTTGCCACCTCATCCTGGGAGGGGAAGGTAACAGAGAAAGATGGAACCCACCGGCCCCACATGCCCACTTTTCCACACTGTGACGGTTTGTGACATGCTCCTCCCGCCACATTCTTACCAGTTTCTTCTTTCCCATCCACCCAGAGCCCCAGTGTGGTGAGGAACTGAGGGACATGGCCTGGTTCCTCCAAGTCCTTCTCATCACATCCCCGGTTCTTCAATTTTGAGGAAAGTGGGGACGGGGTAATGGGAGGCACAGGATGGGGGGTGGGATGCACTCGGCAAGTATGAGTGCCGTGCTACATACTCGGGGGGGGGGGCGGGGCGGGGGAAGAGTTGTGGTCAAGCTCCCCCAAACCCTGGAGGGCTGCTTCCCACCATACTGGGAATACAGGAAAGGTGCTATCACCTCCACCTGAGGCTTCAGGTTCGGGCACTCGGTGGATGCGAGGGGATTTCTGACTCGATGCTAATCAGTGGTGGCAGCCCCCATCTCAGCTCTCTGTGGTCCCACCCGGATGCACTTTGGGTAAAAGGTGAGAGCATTTCCCCTCGTCCTCCAGCCCCACACCCATGTGAAAAGCAGAGGGAAGGGAATGGCCCATCCATGAACATGAGGGAAGGTCAAGAGCATTCAGGAGAAAGTCATCCAGCAGGTGGGTGTTCCAGAGTGGAAGTGGAGGCAGGGCGGCCCACGTGGAAGTGCCCCACACCCTGGAGGACGAGGGAGGGCCAGAATCCCAGTCCACAGCTAGCCCTGAGCCCTGAGTGGGGTGTCCCTGCCTGGGGGCTTACAGGCCTACAGGAGCCTGTGGGGGAGCTCAGTGGCATAGAGTCACCCTGTAGATGTGAGCCCTGCTTCACTCCAAGGCCTCTCCACATCCCGGGGCACGTCCCTGCGCATGTCACAGACAAGGACTGTCTCCCCAGCTCCCCACAGCTCTTGCCAAGTGACACAGGAGACACAGAGACGAGGACTAGTAAGCCTGATGGCATTGTCCAAAGGACAAGGACAGAAGAAGAACCAGACCAGGTGCCATTGACTCAACTCTGATTCCTGGTGACCCCTGGGTGACAGAGTAGACCTGAGCCTCACCATGGTTTCAGTGACAGATTTATCAGAAGTTGATCACCAGACCTGTTTTCCAAAGTGCCTCTGAGCGAACTTGAACCACCAACCTTTTCATTAACAGCTGTAAGTTGCACCTTTTGCACCACTTAGGGAGAGAAGACTGGGCCCTTACTGAACTAAGCACAGGCTTCTGCCACACTCCATAGAGACACAGAGTGACCCCCTTGAGCAGCATCTGGGGGGTGAGGCAGGCCAGGGCAGGCAGGAGGCAGCACTCACCAGCTCCTTAGCGTCCGGGGCCTTGCGGGTCGTGTACCCGTACGGATACATCAGCAGCTGGGAGTAGCTATGCAGGTCAACGAAGCATTTGAAATTCCCATGCGCTTGGATGAAATCTACCACCGACTTCACCTCCACTTCCGAATTGGCGTGGGGTCCGTGATATGTTTCAGAGCACGGGTTGTCACTGGTTCCCACTCCTGTGGGTGATAGCCCAAGGAAAATCATGAACCTACAGACCAAGGAATAGAGACTAGGACACTCAACCAGGAGGAAGGGGTTAAAGGTGCCAGCGATGGGCAGACCACCGCTAGCCACCCCCGAGAGCCTGGCCGATGTGTGCCCAGGAGGCCAGCACAGAACAGGGAGGCTGGGTCTGGGAAGGCTCCAGCCGAGAAGGAAAATCACCAGGACTCCTTTAAATGGAAAGAGTTGACCTTGCATTGCACCAGGAACAGCTGTTATGAATAATTAATATCATACTTGACAATGAGTTGTAATTAATAAGTGTTCTCGATAGTTAATATGAATACCAATTAATAATGAAAATGACTCCATTTATACTCTTGTCAACTCATTCTCTTGGTTCACATCCTAACGGCCAAACGCTGGCAAAAATAATCTATTGTGGCTCAAATCTCCTGATCATTTGACAGGTCTTGAGAGAGTTGGTTTCTGTATTACTTCCCGGCCTAGCTAGCTGGAGCATCTGGTGTTGAGAGTGAAACCACCCCACTTGTGGGCGTATCTGGTCTACCCCAATGCCCTCAGCCCCCGCATTTGTATCAGCTCCTGTCCCAGAGTTTTTTGTTTTTTTTTTTTCTCTCCATGATTTTTGCAGGACCTCTAGACAAGAAAAAGATGAGTGTTAAAAAACAGCCGCGCCACTGTGGACTGTGAGAGAGAGACTGGGAATCGGGGTGAAGCACAGCAGTCCCCCTCCTACTCGGCCATGTGATTCTGCGATAGTCTCGGGGCCACTGTCTCCTCCTTTCAGAGAATGCCATTCACTCGCTTACAAAGAAGCAAGGTCGTGCAGGAGAAAGCCCTAGACACTTCTCATATACTCATTGCTGTGGAGTCTGTCAACCCCCAGGTTATTGTTAGGGGCTGTCGAGTCAAGTACGACTTGTAGCAACCCAATGAACAGATCTGAACCCTGGCCTGGCCTGTGCCATCCTCATCAGCCCTGACACACCTGGACCCGTTGCTAAAGTCACTGTGTCAATCCACCTGGTCGAGGGTCTTCCTCGCTTTCACTGTCCCTCCACATTTCCAACCATGATGTCCCTCTCCAAGGAGCAGTCTCTCCTAGCAACATGCCCAAAGTATATGAAACAAAGCTTTGTCATCTTTAAGGAGCACTCTGGCTACACTTTCTCCAAGATCCATCTCTTTATTCTTTCTGTAGTCCATCAGATATTCAGTGCTTTTCTCCAACACCACAGCTCAAAGCATCACTTCTCTTCCCGTCATCCTTATTCCCTGTCCAGCTCCCACAGAAGGAGACAGCCCACGCCTTCGGATTAGCAGCACAGCTCACTATGCGCCACCAGAGCTGTTCTTGTGCTGGGACTCAGATCCCCTAACTCTTCATCTTCACGACACACAACCTGACCAGACATCGCGTCCATGGAAACTGCTCTTCTGACTTGCCATCAGGACCAATCCTCCACCTGCCCAGCAACAATCCCAAGAGTAGGTGGTGCGGCTGGGGAACAAAGAACTGCTGGTTTGGGTTTGGGTTATAAAAGATTAAAGAAAAAAGAAAACAAGTGCCTTTGAGTTGACTCTAGTTCAAGATGAGCCCATGTGTGTCAGGTGAACTGTGCTCCATAGGAGTTTCAATGGCTGAGTTTTCAGAAGTGGATCTAATGAGCCTCCGATTGGCCTTGGACCTCCAACCTTTTGATTAATGGCCAAGTGCTTGAACTGTGTGCTTCACCTGGGAACTTCAGAAATGATTAATGGAGGTTGTAGTTCCAACATAGACTCTGATAGACCACTCTCTCAGGTGGGCGGGAATGGTTCATTCTCTTTTCAAAATGAGGAAAATAAGATCAGAAAAGTAACCGAGAGACACTAAGGGTATAAAGAGACCCCCCCCCCCAAAAAAAAGTCACCTAGTGGAGTCAGACTGGAAGCTAATCTTTCAATGAAGCTCGGGGTCCTAGTGGACCTGGCTATACTAGCAGGAGCAGGATTTGAAATCCTTCTGCCCACCCACCTGCAAAACTGGCATTCCAATTTCTGTTTGGGTCAGTTCCAATGCAGCGGCTTCCAGGATTGAGGGATCGTGTCTTCCTCCACATTCGGTTCTGGAAAAGCCACAAAACATTCCTAGATGGGACAGAACACTGGCGAGAGGCTGTACTGGGTCTAGCAGCAGGGAGGGTAAGCTTCTGGGATTCTGGGGACCTGGAGGTTCATCATTCATGGGAGAGAGGTAAGGGAACCCCCCTCTGATGTTGGGAAAGGGAGTCCCCTAAACATCTAGATGAGGATTTCTAATGCCAGGACCAAGGTGATGCCTCCTGATCCACTGGCCTATTCTTGGCTTTGAACAAAGGGACATTGTGTGTTTTGTCCATCAGAAAGGCAATAGGAAGTGCAGTACCCCAATTTCCTTCTCTCCAAAAAACCAAATAGAATCCTGCCCCCAGAAGTGACTCCCATTATAGGAAAGGTGGGTTCAGGGCAGCCCAATCCCAAGGATTATGCATTCCACAGGACAACTCACTTGGTCTCACCAAAAGCAAGTGGCATTTGGAACAGTGTGGGAGGGAGGGCATTTGGGGAGTAAGAGGGACTTTAGATATGGAGCCACCAAAAGCAGGGTGTCAACCTTGTTTGGGTCCTGAGCACAATGATGTGTCTCTTAAAAGATACTGTTCAATATAATTGGATGGATTTGATGATATTAAAGAACTTGCTAGTTTTAGAAAGCTGATCATTGTGTAGTGACTTTTTTAAAAAAAATTATCAGGTGAAGAGGCATACTGAAGTATTTTTTGGGTAAGATAACGTGATGTCTGGGATTTGCATTAAAATACTTCAAGAGTGGAAACACGGGAGGGGTGGAAATAGATGGCAAGAAGATGGGAGGAACGTTTGAGATCCCAGCTCGGGGGTTCACTAGACTCCTTTCTCGCCTCAGGAAGTAACGCCCGGAGCAGTTCAGCTGAGAGAACGGCTGGCAGGTGGAATCCCAAGCTCCATAGGATGGGGTCTGCATGTGAGAATTCTCTCTGACAGGCAAATCCAGGATCTCCCCATCAGCCTGAATGCCACACGCCGAGCCCACTGGATGCTGCTCACCTTGGTTTGAGTGTACACGTAGCCATCAGGATTGGCCACGGGGAGCAAGAAGATGTCCATCTTCTCCAGGATGGAGGTGATGGCTGGGTCCTTCTTGTAGTCAGACACAATCTAAGCACAGACAGACACCTGTCAGTTATGTGCCATCTGTCACCTGTCACCTGTCATCAGTTATCTGTCACCTCCCCGGACGCCCCCTCCCAGGACAGCAGCTACCCTGGAAGCTTCTGCCCTGCTTCTCTCTCTCTCCACAAAAGCCCCCTGAGCCTTCAGTCCCTGCGTGGAACACAGCCGCTTGAGTGGCATCTATAGCAGTCAACTCTGGGGTCAGTCATTCCTTCCGGGGCATGAACAGGGGTGCCACAGACCACAGTAAATTTCCCACCATCGAGTTGATGGCAACCTCATGTGTTACAAGAGTACAAGCGATAGATAGCTCAGGTTTTCTTGGTTGTACTGCTAACAGCAGTAGATCACCAGTGCCACTGACGGGGTTTGAAACCACAACCTCTGGTTAGTCAGTCAAGTCATTGCTGGTGCATCAGTACTGACTCATAGCTGACCGTCCAGCGGTTTTTCTGAGTTTGTAAAATGCGTGGGAGGAGATTGCCTATCTTTCTCTCAGGGAGCGGCTGCTGGGTTCAAACTGCCACAGTAGTGGCCTTCTGACGAGCAGCTCAGCCCTCTATGCCATCAGAGTAGTTGAGCACAAATTGCACCACACAGGGACCTTTGGGGATGTGATCCCCACAAAAAGGTTGGGGAGATGTGTTTTCCTGTCCCAGAGCTGGCTTATTCCTGGCTTTCCAGAAGCCCCAGGCCCTGTGGCATTTGGAGGGGTAAGGTCAAATTCACTTGACTTTGTACTTCAAAGGCTCAGCTCCCTCTCTGAGAGGGTGACTGTAATGAACGTTCTGGGTCGGCTCGGTGGCCAGGCTCTGGCCACCACGCTGCACATGGCCATTCAGCGGAGATAGGTCGAGCACTTGGCTTTGATTTGATGTTTCTCTGGGCTGAAAAGGCCCCGCCTACTGTGTCTGGACCAAACACCTCTCCACATTGCCCCCTGTACCCAGCCACATGTGGGATGCCACAAGGCCCCCCAAGCCCACCAGAACTCCTGGCTAATCCTAGGTGGCATGACCTTCCTCGCTGTCCAGATGCCCGTGGCCTGGGAGATCCACTCTCGGGAATGGATGCCTGCGTTCAACCAGATGGCCGGACGCCCCTCTTCTGCTGCAGTGCTGAACTGTGGGGGAGGGAAAGAGACCAGAAGTGAGGACCAGGATGCCCACCCCACCCCACCCCAGACCGCCAGCTCCCCTCAAGCGTTCAGTTCAAGCGATGGCTCAGAGACTGGACATTCAGAGGCCATCGTCTATTTATCCACTGGTCCTGTGTGGGGAGATCAGTTGTTGGGCTGGCAGCTGGAGCACCTCCTGAAGCACTCATGGTAAGAAAACAAAGGCTGTTGTAACTTGTAGTGACTCTGTGATTACATCTCTGGAAAGACCTAGAATGGCATCCCAGCAGAGAGACACAGAGTGCACGAACCAGGCAGTCCAAGCGCACGCAGTAAATGAATTTGCTCTTCAAATTGAGATCAAGGGTTGATGACAGCTCTCTGCCAATAGCATTCACGAACTCTCTCTCTCCTGCCTCTGCTGTGCTCAGGGCTTGGAGTTAACAAAGTCAAGGTCTCCAATAGCTCAGCAAATTATCTCAGTGTAATCATTTCAGAGCAAACAGCTCAGTGGCAGGTAACCTCTCCCTGGTAATTTGCCCATTGCCGTAATTCTGGGTTCTTCAGAGCTTAACAGATGCGAAGCGTGTGGCACGTTCTTAGCAGTATTCATTGTCCTAACGTTCATTTTTCCAAATCACTTGCTATTCATTCATAGGATTATTTGTACACAATAAAACCTGTGGAAGCCAGAACCAGTGTGAGGCAGAAACCCGACAGAGAAGGAAAATCTAAACATATTACACTAAAATGGAAAATGGGTAAGGCCAAAGCCCCCAAAAAGCAAGGTGATCCCATCGAGCTTCAACTCTCACAAGTTTCACGGAAACGTGTGTAAAGAGAATCTATCTCCTTTACCAATATAGATTTTAATCTGGAAATTAAGATTCTGTGTAGTGACAGGCCCAAAAGCTGGACTTGAAGTAACATCACCTCTAAAATTAGAATTTTTTATCACTTTTCTAATAAGCCAAGCCAAACCAGCAGCCTTCAAATCACTGGGTTTTCCATGAAGCATTCAGAAGTAGATTGTCAGACCGTTCTTCCAAGGCACTTCTGGGTAGAATTGAACCCCGAACCTTTCAGTTTGCATCCAGGCTCTTTCACTGTTTTCACCACTCGGTGATTCGGATTTTCCCATACCAATTGCCTACGTTTTTCAGACAAGAACTGCCACATTCTGTTCACAGGGTCACTATGAGTCATACTCAATTTGATGGCATCTAACAACAGCTGCCTGCTTACTGCCTCCGCTTGTCTGACACCTACCTACAGAAGGGCAATTCTGGCTCTCAGTGAGCCTCAGGGCAGAGGAGACTGGCCCCATCTACTTCCATAGGCTGTAGATCTTTCTAGAAGCATACTGTCTCCACTTTCTGCCACGGAGTGACTGTGGGTGGGTTCAAACCATGGACCTGTCGGGTAGATTCTAATACTTAACCACTGTGTCACCAAGGCTCCTCTCCTCTCAGCTTCCCCAATAAACACCTCTAAAAGTGTATGTTGTTGTTGTTGTTGTTAAGGGCTTTCGAGTCGTAGGCAAATTTATGAACAAAAGACCTGGACATTTGTATAACTTTAGTCCTTTCTCCATGTTCATAGGGTTTCCAGAGGCAAGCTATTACGGAAGTGGATGCCACTCCTGCTTCCAAGCTTGTTTCAACCAGGGAGCTCCACCAAACACTGTCCACCATGGGTAACCATTCTCGCATTATGTTTTTGTTTGTTGTTATGTGCCCTCAAATCACTTGCGACTCATAGCAACCCTATGTACAACAGCCTTAATCTCTGCTCTGTCCTGTGCCAATCGCACCATCTCCGATACACCCACCCCAATTGCCCTAGTCATTGAATCAATCCACCTCATAGAGGGCCTTCCCCTCCTGCGCTGTCCCTCCACCCTACCAAGCATGATGTCCTTCTCCAAGGACCGGTCCCTCCTTAGAACATGTCCAAAGTATGTTAGATGGAGCCTCAGAATACTTGACTCCAAGGAGCCTCCCGATTTGACCCTTTCTAGGAAGAATCTGTTTGTTTTCTTGGCAGTCCATGGTACTCTCAATACTCTTCTCCAGCACCACAGCTCAAAGGCATCAATTCTCCCTCTATCCTCCTTAGTCATTGTCCAGCTCCCTGATGCATAACAAGTGACTGCAAAGACCATGGCCTGCATCAGATGCACCTTAGTCTCCAGAGAGACACCATTGCTCTTCAGTACTTTGGAGAGGTCCCTAACAGCAGACTTTGCCATGGCAATATGTCTTTTACTATCCTGGCTACTGGTGCCAAGAGTGTTGACTGTGGAGCCAAGTAAACTAAAACTGTAAACAATCTCAATCTCTTCACCATCCATCCTGATGCTGCCAATTGGTCCAGTGGTGAGAATCTTTGTCTTCTTGACATTGAGCCTCAATCCATATTGGAGGCTGCAGTCCTTAACCCTCTGCAGCAAGCACTTCAGGTCCTCCTCACTTTCTGCAAGCAGGGTTGTGTCATCTGCATATCACAGATTGTTGATAGATCTTCCACCAATCTTGATGCCACATTTCTCTTCATAGAGCCCAGCCTCCTGGATAATCTTTTCTGCATACAGGTTGAAAAGGTATGGAGACAGGGCACATCCCTGGTGCACGCCCTTCCCAATTTAGAACCATGCAGTTTTTCCTTGCTCTGTTCTGACAACTGCCTCTTGGTCCAAGTATAGGTTTCTCATTAGCATGATCAAGTGTTCTGGGATTCCCATTCTTCTCAGAGTCAGCCACAGTTTGTTATGATCCACACAGTCAAATGCCTTTGCATAGTAGAGTTGGTAAAATGATCTCTGTTTGTCTTGCTGTCTAGAGATAATGGGAATGAAGGAAAAGACTATGGTCCACCAAGGAACTTTCTGGAATACTCTCCCCTTCCCACTGATTGCACTTCATGGCCAAATCTGGTACAAGACGGGATCACTCTAACTCCCCTTCCATCAGGGAAAAAGTAGGGGACTTGGTCAGAACACATTCTAATGGGCACAGTGCCTCCCAACCTCACGCCCATGCCTCTGTCCCAATGTCCAGGAAATGCTAAGGAGCTGAACGAGGGCTGAGGATGGGAGGCCAGGACCAGTGCCCAGCCCGGGTGGTGTCTCACCTTCAGTACATACAGGGGCCGATTCTCAAATGAATGTCCAATCTTCATCCTGCTTGCAAGTCCAGGGAAGTCTTTGGTTATGCGGTCCATCTCATGGTAAATCTAAGGCAGAAAGTGAAGCCAAGGGCACTCTTTAACATCTACTCAGCATTTAGTGGGAGCCTGTGAGCTTCTCCTTGTTGGGCTTAATTATCTCTTCTAGCCCTCTAGCCTTGAGGTTGACAAGATCATGAATACCTACACTAGAGACACTCCCTAAAGAGGGTTCTCCAGTGCCAAGAAAATTACACTTTTTATTTGTCCACAAAATTATAATCCACTAACCTAGAATGTGAAGCCAGAAAGTCCCTAAACAAGGATGGTGAGACTTTATCTCATAAACCTCAGCAACCATCCAAAGGTCTACAACCAGATACCCATCAGAGACCACCCAGCGACCCCCACGAGAGACCTGAGAAAGTCCAAGTGACTGAAGCCTTCTCAGAAATCCCTGTATGGGATGAGGCTTGGGGGAGACGAGAATCCTGTCCACACCAAAAGGTCTCTTGGAAAGTAAAAGAAAGCTGTTGGCCAGCTCTCAGTGGGCGGAGAACCAGAAGTGAGTGTCTGATGAGAAAATGAGGCACCAGCAGCAGGCAGATGAGGAGAGGGGCCTTCCTGGGTCTCTGGTGACATTTGTGACTGGTTAGCTCAGCTGGGGAGGACCCCACACTAATGAAGCACATGTCAAAGACTTGATCCCTTGCTGGGCCCATTGGCTTTGCTTTCCTCCATGGCCCCAGCCTGAACTTCTAACCTCACCCAGCTGTTTTGCAGATGTGTGTCATATTGGTCACAAGAGAGATCAAGGGGCAGGGTACTTGGAAGTGTGAACAATAAACAAAACTTCTAGCCATGGGAAAGGAGTAGAAAGAACTGGTCAATGTCTGGAAAAAACCCTCGAGAAATAGCAAGCCACCTTGAAGTATACGCCTTAAGAACAGCAGGCAGAATACCATCTCTGTATACAGAGAGGCCTACAAAGGTGAATCCACTCAGATTTGGGATGTGTTCCTGAATCTGTGAAGCGTCTGCAGATTCATGGAGAACACAATGAAGGACTTAAGAGAACTCTTATCATGCATGACAGTTCCAGTCCAACATCACAGTAAATTATTCTGCGCCAAGCTTTTCATGTTGAAAGGTTGGCTGGCCTTGGAAGCCATTCATCTACAAAAAATGGTTTAACTAAACACAGAACCAAAACACATTATGGGACAAGCAGACATTCTAAATGGACGTGATGAATGAGTGGAAATATTTGGTTAACCATGGGTGTAACCACTTGTCTATGTGCCTGCAATAAGTAACATTTTATCCTGAGTGAGCCTGTGGTGAGTATTAGAAGATAGAATTACAAGTAGTGGAAATGGTTGGCATTATTTCTGGGCTTTCTTTAAGGAGTTGTTTTAAGAAAAGAAGGTCATGTGTTGAATAAAAGGTCCATTCTGTGTATCATCAAGCTTTTAGGTGTTAGTGGGAGACAAATTATCCAAGAAATAGAGTAGAATGATATGCACACCTATGTTTACTGCTGCTTGTTCACAATAGCAAAGAGTTGGAACTGACCCAAGGGCCCATCAACAAACGAATGGATAGAGAAGCTGTGGTATATTCACACAATAGAATACTATGATGCATTGAAAAACAAGGAACTCGTGAAATATTATTCCAAATGGGTGATCTTAGAAGACATTATGTTGAGTGAAATAAATATCTCAGTCACAAAAGGACAAATACTGCATGGTGCCACTGTTATAAAACAGGACTGACACAGATTCTGGGGGAGAAATAAGAAAAGAGGAGGGGAAAACAATGTACATTGCATTGAAACAGATAAGAGAGAGAACTCTTTAAAAAATGTATATGAAAAGGAGGAGAGGAATGATGTATATTTCATTGAAACAGATGAGGGAGAGAGGTGTTTAAAAGGGATATATCAATGGGTATTCTTGTCATTGCAGAAGTCCAGAGTGAAGGCTGCATAGCAGAGTGAACTTGGGGGGAGGGATTGCATAAAAATGAAAGAGTTTTTCTTTTTCTTTTCAAGAAGAAGAGTGATTTGGGGGGGGAGGGAGTGGTCAAGGAGAAAAGTGCAACAATGAATGACTGGAAATCCTAAGTCTCTGTAAACTTTCACTAAAATTAATAAATAAATTTTTTAAA